AGTTTTGTCGATACGTCTGTAACGATTTTGCATCGATAAATATCGTTAAGGTAAAATTACAGAATCACGCCGTATCGACATCGTCGATAGTGCAAGCGATAAAAGTTGATAATTAACGACAGCGACAATCGTCGATAGGAAGTTAGAGAATCCCGCTACTGAGGTGTCAGCTGTACGAGCTAAAAGTAAGCGAATTTTTAAACTTTTCTTTGATTCCTAAAATCCGATACAACTGAAGTCCTATTTGTGCGTACTTTAATTCTGTAAAAACAATTTTTTGCAATCCGTCAATTCAATTCGGAGATATTTCATCGAATGGAAATGATGGTAAAGTAGAACAACTTTAGCATCCCCTTAAATACATTGCTGAAATTAAGATAATTTAATAAAAAATTACTAGTTAATTCGTGTATCACAAGAGCCATGGCTAGAGATACTAAAAGGAGAGATCGGCCAAAGCCCGGCATGATGTGAAACCGGAAATCACGTGATCTTGGAAATGCGCGCGCCAATATATCAAAGCCAATTTTGATACATCACGTAACACTACTTGTTTGTTATAACTTTGTTATATTAAAGTTGTAAAGAATAATTATTAGAAAAAGTTTATTTTTCGTAAATATAGAATTGTGGTTAAAATAGACAAAAACGTGCAAAACACATATTAAATTCGAATATAAAAGCTGTTTTCCATTTACACACGGTGATACTAAATCTGAAGTGATATGAAAATATTTTATATTCAAATAATGATTTTACTACTTGTTTATTTTGATGAAAACTTATCGCATAATAACACAAATTTCTAACCTCATATTTAATGTGAGTTAAGAAGACTTAATAAAACACACGGTCTCGAGTTTGTGCAGATTATTGGCAAAAATATGATTGGTCTTGCACTTAGTTCCTCACTGGATCTAAATGTATAAACCAATCATATTTCGGAATTTTACAACAGTTGCAAAACTGCTTTCTCTGCTGAACGCAGCCAATCATGCCAATATAGAAGCCGACACAGGTTATACATGTGTAAAAAATGAACTTTATTAACAAATTAGACGTTTTAGTCATCTTTAGTAACAAATTGACGTAATCGAAAAATGTATATTGTAAAGTACGCTAATGTAGAGAGTCACAGTGATATAAAATTACAATGATTAATGTGGTCCAAATTTAAAATCTTCGTCAATAATAATAAGTTTTTTCAATATATTAAATAAAATAAGAAATATTACTTTATTCAATATATTGAATAAGAAAATTATTTGAAAATTATTAAACTAATCGATATTGATGAAATCACTCCTAAGTGATGATTGTACCATCTGAAACACAATACATAATTTAGTTCTAATACTTGGTAAAGGAAAATTTTGGCGTAACAGTTCATTGTATCCCGTCGTACAACATGCAAACTTTAGTGAATAAGCTTTTACTAGAGTTTCGTTAGACTAATGCGGCATTTTCTTATAGTTATAAAGAAGCAATTTCATCTGATTTTTATCAAAAATCTTTGACAGATTCTTATTAATACGCACTTCATTTTTTAACCGCTTCAGTTCCTTCTTCATAGTTACAAACTTTTTTCTCATTTTAACCCTCAACTGTTCACTTCTTTTTAACAGCTTTTCCAAATTCTGTGTGTAGTGCAGTTGCAACGATCAAACGTTAAATATGTCGTAGTCCTGCTTAATGTGTTTTCGTTATCCGAATTTAATACAGGTTCTTGGGAATCTTCAATTGTATCTGTCACTAATAAACAAGGTAAATAAATGTATTAATAAAATAAATATGAATCAGAAGTTATAAATGGAACAATTGTGATAGAATTTCTCTAAATTCTAACATGTGATTAAGTTATAAAAAGTAACATAATTAAGGAAAGATGTTTTCGAGTTTCTAAAACCTTTAACAAAATTTTTAATTATTAATAAATAATATCAACACACACATTAGTACATCTCGTTGTATCACATTCAAATATTCACAATTTTTATTCTGAAATGTTTCATTATATGCACCTGTTGCAGCCAGAGCATCCATATGTTTGAAAATTGTAGGCACAGCATTTGCTTTCAAACATCTTGGTTTACCATCTGGGTATGTTTCATATATTGGGAGAAAAATGGACCTGTGAAATAAAATGAATTAATGTTTTATATATCACTCAAACACCCTTGTACAATAAGAGATTGATTCCGATTGATATTTTTAATATTTTCAAGTAAATCTTAATATCTATCGATTTCAAAATGTATTAGATTTTAATCAATACCAATATATCATATTCAATAGTTTTCAAATATATTGAAATGTATTTTTAAACAATACCAATTGACATGTATTTTAAATATTTTTAAGTTATTGAATTTTGTATTACTGATATTAATTAAAATCTAATGGACTTAAATTGATTGGAAATATGTTGATTCAATAGGTATTAAACTTATTTATTTATCGATTTATGTGACCGGAATCACTTCTTTTTTTATCAAGGTACTTATCTAATATCATTACACATAATTACTTTTATTTACATGACATAAACGCATATTTTCGCAATTTTCGATATCCAAATCTTCACGGTTAATGTGCTTTAACCAAACTTTTCTCCTCTCCCCTCTCGGGATTCGGCACATACGAAATCCTTTTTTTGAGGAATTTGTGCAATAATCCGCACAGCAACTCGTCATTTTTAAAACTAAAACATGTTCAAATATATTTTCATAATAGCACTTTTAGATTAATTTACACATAAAATGTATGTATGTATTTATAAATGAATTTTTATGTATATTTATATATATATTTTATATAAAAAGTTCTACTGATACCATTTTTATGTATATACTGATGATTTTAAGCTTACTTACTGTAAAAGACTCGTCTAAGGCCGGAATCAGACTACGCATTGAAGATTGAGGTTGAAGATTGAAAAATTCAAATTTGACCAATCGAAACGAAAGGAGCTAAAATTTCTTTGTCCTTATTGGTCAAATTTCAATCTTCAATCTTCAACCTCAATCTTCAATGCGTAGTCTGATTCCGGCCTAAGTTAAATTATTTTTGTGACAATTTAATCATAAGGATCGTAAGCAGACGCTTCTCTCACTCTCACATTCGCTTCTTTCACTCTCACATCCGGTTTCACAACATCATGGCAGAGCCAATCACGGATCGAGTCACATTGGCCGATATCTCCTTTTAGTATCTCTAGCCATGGCCAGTCTGTCGGTAAAGGCCATCACACGTACAAAAATTTTAGTCTTAATCATAAGGCCGTAAGCAAATCGGCCAATCACAGTCGAGTGTTTAAAAACTCGAGATCTCAATTTTGATTGTGATTGGTCTATTTTGATTGTGTTTGCGATCTTACGATTCCCACTAAAATTTTTGTACGTGTGATGGCCTTAAGGGGTCGTAGTGACCCCTGTATGTGTATATCGAGCAAGCTGCATTCCGAAACCTATCGAAAAAAATGTCGCAACCTTTCAAGCCCCCAAACAGATCGGCTGAGATTAGCACAAAGATTAAAGTACAAATATACCAAAGTGATGAAGATAACTTGATAACGATGTACATACATACAATTAGTTGCTACATTATATCAAAATCAAACATAGGTCAGTCTTTAAGATTGCTACAAACATATCAGGATGCAGAGTAATATTTTGCGTCGATTGAATTTATCGGAATGCGAAACATGATCGCATGTGTCGTTCCTTATTAATAATATATTTGACAATATTTTATTTCAAATGACGAAGAGTAAATATACGTCTTACAAGTTTATACCGAATAATCTCATTGATGCCATTTCAAATCACTTATGTCAATTGGTTGGAAGATAAATTCTATTATGCGAAGGTTATATTTTAATCTTACTTGACAGATAATTCTATTTTTGACTGAAATATATGTTCTACATTATTTTCTTAACACATTTATATTTGTTTTATCAAATAGAAATATTTTTTATTAAATTGCATGGCAAAAATATAAAAATTTGTTTGTGATAGCCACTTATATTAAATAAATACTTATTACTTAAGTTTGCAATATCATTATAGATGAGATATCAAACGATGGTAGTTATAAAAAGATGCCGCTGGTTCACTGGAGTTTTCAGATTATTACCTCAGAACACATATTCCAACTTTAAGCTATTAAACTACACAGCTATGAATTTTAGGCCATGTACGAAGGTTCATACTTCCTCCGCAATACAGTATAATAAATATAAGAATGAAATGAATCCCAATGTACAGAGGAATACCTATTCTTTGTCGAGGATAGAAAATATATCTGCTCATGTCAAGTTAGTAAGTTCACAACAAAATAGATGTTTAAGCATCGCTGCAAAGCTAGTCAATAATGCCTCACCTAAAGTGCAACCATACATGAAGCTTATGAGGATAGATAAACCAATAGGTAAAACCTAATTACTTAATTACTTAATTATTATTGTAATTAATAATTGTAATTAATAATTGTTGCAAGTTTTCTTTCCTAAATTTTTTGTTAGGAAGCTGGCTGTTATTTTGGCCTTGTGGATGGAGTATTGCATTGGCGGCTCCTGCCAGTGCCTTGCCAGATCTCTATATGTTAGGACTTTTTGGTATGGGTGCATTCGTAATGCGTGGTGCAGGATGCACCATAAATGATATATGGGACCAGGACATTGACAAAATGGTACAATCCTCAGTAACATTTTAATTTTGTATTTTGGATGTCACTATTTATACAGCTTATTATCTTAGATAGTGAGAACGAAGGATAGACCTTTGGTAACTGGCCAAATAACGCCACTACAATCGATAATATTTCTAGCTGGACAGTTAAGTCTGGGATTGCTTATATTATTACAATTAAATTGGTATAGCATATTTCTTGGTGCCAGTTCACTAGGTACTGTATGTTTGTTTAAAGTCTACAATTTTATATTTAAAATGAATTAAAAATATTTGATACAATATATCTTGTTCTTTCCTTTTAAGGTCTAGTAATAATTTATCCCCTCATGAAACGAATAACGTACTGGCCACAATTAATTTTGGGAATGACTTTTAATTGGGGAGCCTTATTAGGATGGTCAGCTATACATGGATCATGTAATTGGTCGATCTGTTTGCCACTTTATGTAGCTGGTACTTGCTGGACTATTCTGTATGATACGATATACGCTCATCAAGTAAATATAAAAAAAATGAAAAGTATAATAGAAATGTAATCTTACGTCGTTCATCAATTTCTTTTTGTGTATTAGGATAGAATGGATGATATTCGGCTAGGTGTGAAATCGACCGCCATAAAATTCGGAGAAAATACGAAATTTTATTTGTCTGGTTTTGGAATAGTAATGATTACTAGTTTAATTACCTCCGGTGTATTCACTACTCAAACCTGGCCTTATTATACTGCCGTTGGTTTAATTGCAGCGCATATTAACAACCAGGTTAAAAAATTATGAATTATTAATTAAAAATAATTGCATCCGAATAAAGTAATTTCTTTCTTTCAGATATATACTCTGAACATTAACAATCCTACGGATTGTGCTAAAAAATTCATGTCTAATCAAAACGTAGGCATAATATTATTTATTGGAATTGTGTTAGGAAATTTAATGAAAAAATCAATGCCGAAAAAAGAGAATGAAATCAAAGAAACAAGGCGTCAAGACATTGTACTGGATGAAATAAAAAATAAGGTATGACTTATAATTCAGTAAGAAATTTAAAATAGCACCTTTTAATTATGTAAAATAAAACTGGATGAAATAAGATAGATGTTATAAAGATATAAATTCTGCTTAATTCATATGTTAAAATTTTCAAACGTTATAATTTCGCGAACAAATATTTTTATATTTACTTGGAATATTATAAATTAAGCAATTTTTTGTACTTTTAATCGCACCATCAATATGGTTTAATCATTCTCATAGTTATAAAATAGAAAAATTTTCCAGAGCTGAAGAATATTACAAAATAGAGCAATTGTGATTTTTAGTTGTAATAGTAAATACTTTCTATTATATAACAAAATTTATTATTGTACTTGTGATAATATTCATAATAAATTGTTTTAAAATAAAATAAAATAGAGACATTAGAACAAAAAAAATCACATGTCTAGAATCTCAGTTATTATTAATAATTCTTACAATGGCTACCTTTTCCTTATTAATTTCTATTATGAAATTCTTAATAAAGTAATTTCTTAATAGCTGTAAATTAAAATTTTCTTTCATATGTTATTGCTGCTTCCTTTCCTTTTCTTTAATATGTTCAATATATTTGTCATGAGTTAATATTGACACAGACTGTTTGAAATCTTCCAAAAATTTTATATTCGGTAATATTATAGCCAAGTATCCACCTTTATGTGGGAGTTCCTTGAGAAGTTGCGGGTTTTCTGACAATGCCTCATTAACTTCGACTAATTTTCCGACTATATAGCATTTGATAACATATGTTTGTCCATCCACACATAATATAGTACAGATATTCGAATTAGTCTGCAATGGTTGCGCACCATGCTTACTCTTACCAGAGACTTTGTTCAAGGATCTATCTAATTTATCGCTAACCTTAAAGTCGATTTTTTGTATAACTTTGTTATCTTGCAAAATGACATGACTGGGTGCCAAGGACAGCATACAAATACGATTGCTATGAATCCATATACATGTATCATTTCCTAGTGATTGTACATCCATTTTGTAATAGGGGGTAAAATAACGATCAGTAACAGTAGGAAAACGACCGCTATATTGTACTTCATCCAGCATGTCTGAGACATCCTCGTCAGGAGGAAATGTAAACGACTCGTCATCGCTATCAACAATCGCTGATGCCTCCTTGTCACTATCAACAATTGCTGATGCCTCATTATTATCTACTAATTCAGCATGTTCTTCCTGTTCTTGAAGAGAAATTTCTTTTGCATCAGCAATATCTTTAACTGCATTTTCTTGCATATTATCTTCTTCCTTACATAATTTCTTTCCATAATCGTTTTCAGATTTCAATCGTTTGGTTTTTGGCTTATCAGCCTCTGATTCCAAATTCATGTTCGATTGTTATATACTAGTATACAAGAGTATATACAATTCAAATTGATTTAATCTAGAGTTACCACAAATATAACACATACAGATTTCAACAGAGTAATCAAATTATTAGTTGAATTATTTCTGTGCACGGGTTAATCGTTGCCACTTTCTGGTTGTGCCGGTTCCGTCTTTAACCTATTTCGTCGGAGTGCGCTTTCTGTCCTACGAATTTCTCTCTGAAACAAACAGCGGGATTATTCATATTAATTCGGAGCGAAAATCGGAGACGACTTACTTGTTCCTTTATGCATTTGATCATCGCTTGCTGGATATGTTCGCAGTAACCCAGTAATCTTCGATACGGATGCTGCAAGTATATACAGAATTGTTGAGACGGCACACGGTAAAGTTTACGAGTGATATTACCTCAGTCTCACAATCCTGAAATTGGCGAAATATCTCGTTGCAAGCAGCATTGTGTGCTGCCAGCGATTTATAGTTCATACCTTTGTTTTGGTAAAATTATTTGTAAAATTACTCATTTTTTCATTACGCAACCGAACGACAAAATAGGTCTGTTCGCGTTGCATGAAATCCTTAAATATTTTTGTACTTAAAATGAGATAGATATATATTTGGCCTTGAAAAGAGAGAAAGCGAAGATGCCGAGTGCCAAAAGTGCAAGCAACGCGAACAGACCTAATGGGTATATTGGGTGCATTCAGTACTACAACCGCTCATTGAGCGCTCAGTGAGCTCTTGCATCTGTTTGGTCTATATTTTTAGTTCTAACGGAATATACCAATAAGATGCAAGAGCTCACTGAGCGCTCAGTGAGCTTTTGTATCCGTTTGGTCTATATTTTTAGTTCTAACGGAATATACCAATAAGATGCAAGCGCTCACTGAGCACTCAGTGAGCTCTTGTATCTGCTTGGTCTATATTTTTTAGTTCTAACGGAATATGCTAATAAGATGCAAGTGCTCACTGAGCGCTTGCATCTTATTGGTCTATAATATTAGTTCTAATGGAATATGCCAATCAGATGCAAGAGCTCACTCTTGCTGAGCGCTCAATGAGCGGTTGTAATACTGGATGCATTCAGAAGTACGACCGCTCACTGAGAGCTTAGTGAGCTCTTGCATCTGATTGGTACATTCCATTAGATCTAAAAATATAGACCAAACAGGTACAAGAGCTTACTGAGTGCTCAGTGAGCGGTCGTGCTTCTGAATGCACTTACTGGATACACTCATTATGTTTTCAATTTTGCAGTTGGCAGTGTTGAAATTTAATCGGCCGATCAAGTGATTAACCCCGGATCTACAATAGGATTTTAAGTCTTAAGTCGTAAGAAATTGACCAATCACAGTCGAATTCGAGGAGAATAATCGACTATGATTCATCTATTTCTTATGGCTTAAGGCTTAAAACACCTATTGTAGATTTGGACTAATCGAAGTTGGTGAGACTGGCTCTAAGCATAACCACAAGAAGACTAGAACTAAGGGCCATGGCACACAAAAAAACTTAAGCAGTAAAATGTAAGCAGTAAGCGAATTGACCAATCACAATAGAGTCCATAAGGCCATAACATAAGCAGTAGCGAATCCAACATGTTGATTTCCTTACTGGTTACGTCTTACTGCCTTAAGTTTTTTGTGTGCCAGGGCCCTAAGGAGAGTCAACTCGTGCCAATAGCGGTAGTGGGGGTGAGGCAAAAAGTGGCGACGGATAACTTCCCCCACTCTTGCGCTTCATTAGTTCTCTCTGTCGCTCTATATAGTTGTCGCTCTATCATTCTATAATCGTCACTTTGTCGCTCTTATATCGAACTTTCACACAATGCGCAGTGCCGCTGCACATCGTGTGAATAGCCGCGGACGTTTTTTGACTCACCCCCACCACACGAGTTGATCCTCCTTGGTTCTAGTCTTCTTGCATACCTAACCATGATATAAAGACAAGGGTATACTTTTGCGCATCGATAAATCACGTGACTGTCAAATGGCCAATCAGAATTGTCACCAAGTTATGTCATCATTACGCGGTGAATTTGAAATTATAATTTCTTTGCAATGCGCATTATAAAAAATTATTTTGCCATTTATAGGCGTCATTGCATAAAAAATAACCTTTTATTAAATGTTCAGTAATACATTAATACGCAGTACTTTATTGAGATGTGGGATATACAAAGTATATGTTTAAGTATATGTAAAGTTTTTGGACGGAAAAATTGTATAAAAGTAATATTTTATTAATTAAATATGAAATAAACATCAAAAATTAATTTTATTATTATATTAAATTATTTTAATTATGACACATGTAAATTAATGTATATATTATATTTAATACATAAATTATATTTTTAAATTGATATTGTATTAATTTAAATATATGAAATTTTCCAAATAAATCAATTAAACATTTTAATGTAAAAGATACAAAAAAACGTCATTATTTCGTGGTAAATTGAAATGTATTATTTATCAGTATACTTACAGCGCTCTTTGCAGTACTTCAATTGAAATCTTTATTTGAAGAATAAAACGTATCAAGTAATATGTTAGTATTACATATGATATTATCTTGAAGTTATTATATTTTTATGTTACAAAAAGTTATTTTATTATTGTTGTAAACATTATTTTATAGAAGCGATTTATAAAACCCAGTTTACATAATCAATAATTGAAAAATAGAATTTTAAAATATTCAATATTATAAACGATTGTAAGAAATTATATTTTATTATATTTGAATTGAACAAATAAGAAATAATCATAGGTTCGAAAATATTGGTGTAAAAAATTCAAGAAATATATTTAAGGAAGAGAAAATGATAGGTATGTGTAGATTAGTACTTCTATTTTATTTTTCTTCTAAATCTGCGAGAGAAATATGTATTACTCACTAAGTGAGATAATACATGCGTCTCTCTTGCAGGATTTAGAAGAAAAATATCGGACTTTCAGGTGTCCAGACTCTGATTAGAGAGTCTCTGACTTCACTTACCTCTTCAATTTCTCTCGTTGTTTAAATTTTTAAAATTTCTCTTTCATGGCTCCCAATTAATACAGCATTTTTTATTCGTGTTTTAAAAATTGTTGAGTCATATTTCTAATATATTTAGTATATATATATATATACATTATGTTTTATTATTAGTAAATTTTACAATCTTCTTTTTCTTATTTTTACTTCTGTTCTGTACAGATATTTGACGATTCATTATCCGGACACAAATATATGTTCGTGTACGAACAAGGCACAGAATAACTTCACGTGGTAATTTTAATGGTTGTATTTTTTTGTACAATTGTCGCCAATTCGTTAAAAATAAATTTAGTTTTGCGAAATTGAAATCCATGATATTTTTCGAATTCAATATTCATTATCCGCGTTGCCGTTAACAAGATTTCCGGTGGGTACATACATTTTCCGCGGGAAATAAACTGAACCCAATCTACATCGCTTCCAATTGGCATCTCGAGAGTTGCGACACCTAAATTATTATATTTCGATTTAAATCGGTAGGCAGTGATATACTTCAATCCTTCATCTTCAATATTATCAATTATGTCCATTTCGTTTAGAGAAGTGAGAAGTTCTTCTTCCAAAGTCGGATGAAACATGGACAGATCACATATAGTTACATTATTATTTTCATCATCTAGAGGTCCTCTAATCAGAGTCTGGACACCTGATAGTCCGAAGTCCGATATTTTTCTTCTAAATTCTGTGAGAGAAATATGTGATACTCACTAAGTGAGATAATACATGCGTCTCTCTTGCAGGATTTAGAAGAAAAATATCGGACTTCGGACTATCAGGTGTCCAGACTCTGATTAGAGGGTCTCTGACTTTACTTATCTCTTCAATTTCTCTTTCATGGCTCCCATTTTCGTTGCAATTTTTGTCTGAAAACGTGCAATAAAAATGAGTAATCTATAACTGTACATATATAAAACTAACATAATGTTACGAAAATTAATAAATAAACTTTGCCGAAGAATAATTGCAACAAAGAAATAATTGAATAAAAGGTTATTACTAACTTTTATATTTATATTTATAGTTATGTTTATGTGTGCATATTAACGTAAATAAAGGGTGCTTTCCAGCAAGGAATGTTTCATCTTTATTTAACGTAGGCAAACAACAAGGATGTAATGATTCACTGTTACACTGTGTCTTGCTGGAAAGCACCCAAAGTAGTACTTACATGGAACCAACGTCTTTATTTGAACGATGAAAATTTGTTGAAACAGATGATGTACTTGGTGTTACATATTCAGTATTATCCTTAAATACATTCGTTGATGCATCCACTATTTTTTTTTTATGGGACATTGATATGCACTGACGTAGTCGATATTTTTTCTTATCGACAAAATCCGATTTTGGCACATTTGCCATGACTGTAGACGGAGGCACTATTTCTTCCGGCATAACATCGATGTCCAATCTGCTATCAATGATGTAACCCTTCTTTCATCAACATGATCAGGTAATAGTGTATTTTTCACATATTCATTAAATAAATACAACGTGGGAACTGCATTGTCTTTCAATTTACGAACTTTTCTTGGAGAGTATTCCACCAATTCCATTCACAAAGATTGTTTAAAATACGACGGTTCAAAATGTATTGAACATATTCTCCCTAAATAAAAATAAAGTATATGTTAAGTTATTATCGATCAGATGTCTATTAAATATTTTTCAATATTTATTCCTATTAAAATCATTGACTCGATTGTATACTTTCTTAGAATCTTACCTTTGATAAGAAGATATCTTTATTTGCCCAGACTTCACGCCACTTCATACAGACATCTTTGTCTCTCGGAAATAAAAAATATCTTACAGTTTCACCTGGAAGATTTTTCGTTTTTCGATAATAGTTTTTACAACCTTTTACTGCGCAATTCATTGTTAATGCACGATCACTTTATAATAAACATACGCCACACACGCTACTTTATACACACGCTCAGCAACACTTCTCTGCTAAACACAAGATAACATGTGCTCGCGATCGTATTTTACGTGATTTTACGGCCATATTACGAACTCGAACCGTAATTAACCGAAATAAATCGAATGTGACGTAATTTGATGACAGTCACGTGCTTACTCCCTCTTTACTTTTGATAGATGCGCAGTGGGTTACCACCGGACGAGCATACCCTTGTCTTAATGGCTACGTTTACACCGTGCATTTAGGCCGCGACCTATACAATAGATGTCCTTGTTTAGCCTATATATTAAACAAAGACACCTATCGTATAGGTCGCGGACTAAGCGCACGGTGTAAACGTAGCCTATATCATGAGCACAACAAAGGCTGTGCCCATGAGCAAAATTTACTGCCAGCGCTGAAAATGCTACAGTTTATGTTACGTGCATTATAGATTTTCAGTACAGGCAGTCAATTTTGGAACGTTGTGTGGCTCACAGAATGTCAATGGCTACGTTTACATCGTACGCTTAGTCCGCGACCTATACGATAGGTGTCTTTGTTTAACCTACAGGATGAACAAGGACAT